CGGGGCTGACACCGCCAGTGCCGACGGCACCGGGGCCGAGGGCACCGGGGCTGACAGCACCGGGGCTGACAGCACCGGTTATCGGACTCCTGTTCGGAGTTGCGGTGAAGGGGGCATCTTGCTCAAATACCATTCGCTCATCGACCGCAGTTGGTTGGCCAAGGGCTAGGCCCCGGGCCGGGCCTACAGGAAGGCCGTCGGTTTGTTTTTTGAGGGTGTCCAGGAGCTGGGCTGCTGCTTCGCGTTGGGCGTCCTCAACCCGGAAGCGTTCGACAACGGCCTTGACTTGGCCGAGGCTGGCTTCGACTTTCCAGGAGCCAAGGTCGGTAGTTGAGTATTGGAAGGCGGGTTGCGGTAGGCTGTGAGTCTTGGCAAATTCGAGGAGTTGCGCACCGGCATCGGGTGGTTGTTGGAAGGCACGGCGAACGTCGGCTTCGTCGAAGGGAAGACTCGTCCGGACGGCATCTACTCCCTCTTGAAGTGCCAAGGACCCGAATGTCCAGTAAATCTGTTCCTCCGCTCGAAGTCGAGCTTGAGGGTCATGGTCTGCGTGCGGGTCAATGAAACCCCATAACAGTGCAATCCGTAGCAACTGTTCGCGACCTGTCAAACATTCAAAGGCATCCCGTAGCCTCTGTGACGTTGACTCGCGGTTCGACGAACCGGCTTCACCAACACCACCGACTGCCGACCACCAGGTCTCCAGTTCGGTCCAGCCGCCGTTTATCCGACGGCCATCCACGCCGTTTGCCCGGTCGAGGCCGTTTGCCCGGTCGAGGCCGTTTGCCCCCTTCAGGGCATGTGCCCTGCCCCCGCCCCCGACTTGGTCGAAGGAGTTCCCGACTTGGTCGAAGGAGTTCCCGACTAGGTCGAGGGAGTTCCCGACCAGGTCGAGGGAGTTCCCGACCAGGTCGGGAGAGTCCCCGGTAACCCCTTCCGCGGATTTCCGACGTTTCGCACTCCGACCGCCAACCACAACTCGCTGTTCGCGTTCGTACCGTTGTTCGCGTTCGTACTGGTCCAGTTGGAAGAGGTACGAAGCGACAGCGTATTTGTACGTCCAGCGACCGAGCCAGGCTATTCGGTCGTTAGCTTCACCCGCTTGGGTGAGCTGCGAGGCCCCGGGGACTTGCGACATTCTTGCGCAAAAATGGACCAACCTGGAAGCACTCAACTGGCGGAAGGCTGGCCCGCCCCGCCTTACTGGTACGCCTGCTTCCCTGCCGAAGCCCCTGACCGCGACACCCTCGAGTTCGCCTACGACAAGACCCTCTTTCCACCACCTCCCGTTCCGCAGGACAATTTCACCGCCTTTGGCGCTGTGGTCGACATGGTAAGCCCGCGCCTGTCGCTTGCCCCCCTCCCCCTGTCGCTCCTAAGTGTTCGTGGTAGAGCGAGTTTGATATGTCCACTACTTTGGATTCGGACGCGAAATTGTACCGTGAAGAGGGTGTAGAATTGCGTGACGAGTTCGACCGCTTGTTCGATACATTGTTGGATGAGGTGGTGGTTTTGTTCGGCCAGTCAAGTCAACTGAATTCGGAGTTCGCAGGTGGTGCGTCCGGCCGAGTCAAGAACATCATTCGGCTCTATCGTAACCTCCAGAACATCCTCCACGTGCTCCGCCAAGACCAGTTCACCGCTAACGTCCTAGACATGCTCCATCAACAGGCACAGCAAAAGCTAGCAATCATCAACGACATCCGCCAGATCGCATTTGACCTTGCCCCACTCACTCTCGAAGACGCTATCCGACCCCCCACCGACGAATGAACATAGTGTGGACACTAAGTGAATGAACACCGCGAACCAACGGATTCATAGAGAGAACACCAGGCCAAAACATGAGGAGCCACTGCCCATTTGGAGCCGGCCCATGTCTCGAGGTCGACATCCTGGTCTCGCGGCTGCCAAGGGGTCAGGTACCGTTGGGCGGGCCGAGATGGTTTTCAGTTCAGCCGAGCCGGTCGGGGTTCACTGTACAGAGGGTTGTTTGGTTCACACAGGGTTCGCCTTTGGGTTAGCGTTCTTGGACGACAAATTAAAAAACCTGATGGGGACGGACGTTGAACTGGAGCTTGCGTCGCCAGTGGTTGCGGAGGGGGCGCTTTCTCCAGCGGTTTCGAGGTCGTCTGTGGCGGAGGTGGAGACATCTCCCGCAGCAACGGAGGCAACGGAAGCTGTGGCTGGAGAGGTTAGAAGTGAAGAGGTTAGAAGTGAAGAGGTTAGGAGTGAAGAGGTTAGGAGTGAAGAGGTTAGGAGCGGTGTGGATTCAGAGATTGGTACCGTGACTGGTCGGCGGTCGTTTAGTCGTTTAGAATGTGGTTGGTCAGTGTGGGAGATCCGGAAAGTGGCTCCGAAGTATCGGCAACAGGAAACCGCGGAGTATGCGACGTGCTTGACATTGGTGGATAGTTTCCACAGTGTGCAAGGATTCTTCGCTAGTTGCCGGACACATAGTGCAGACGATTATTTGCATGGTGAGAAGAGTCTGGCGGTGTTCCGGGCGAGACGGAAACCTATGTGGGAGTACTTCCCACGGGGCGGCAGAGTGGTATTACGACTACGTGCGGAAGGGATGGCTACTCTCCGAACCGTCTGGGAGGAGATGCTTTTATTGCTCGTGGGAGAGAACTTCTGCAGTCCCTGCGTTGTAGGCGCCATGCTTAACGTCAAGTCCGCCAGGGAAGCGTCTTTGAGCTACTGGCTTTCGGAAGACTCACTTCACGGCCATGTCAAAGCCACCCTGCGCACAATTCTCACCGGCAACGACGTCATACAATGCCTGCCTTTCAAGAGCCTTAAAAAGAGCAGACCCAGACGAGTAATCGGCACCACTGTCAACGACTGTGGACAGGATGCCGAATGCACAGATGTCACGGGTGTGGATGTGGAACCGACAGGACTGGAACATGTGGAACACCCTGTGGACGCATAGTTGGGCTTGCAGGCCGGACACCGACCGGGCCGGACACCGACCGGGCCGGACACCGACCGGGCTGGACATCGACCGGGCTGGAGAACGGCAATGTGAGAGACCAGGCTCGCAAGGACTCCTACAATGGCCGCAGCGACCGCCGTGAGCCGTTTCACGTCGGTGAGGTCTCAATTGATCGGATCTTGAGTAAATCCTCCTCCAGGTTTGGAACAAAGTGATCCAGCAACAGATATGTGCGATAAGTGATCATCGCCTGGTTCGAAGTCACTGCCCTGCATTTGTCGATGCTTCTACAGCATCGGTATCTCTATTTTTCTTAACAACCAAAAAAGCACTTCATTAGCGCCACACGAGAAAGCGTTGTCTGAGAAGAAGGATGAAGTCTCTTGGTCTAGGTCTCGTGGTGATAGCCCCCCCCACCGCGAGAGCCGTACCGGCCTAACAGCAGCTAGAATATTTCTTCTGGTGCAGGGGGAGAATTTGCCGTCCGTTGAACAATCTTGGGACCGGTACGACAGTGTTGGGATCGAAGTCTGAGGTAAGGAGGTCAGAGGACGTGCCTCGGTATTTTTGGTCGTAGGAATCAGAGGGCTGGTACTGCATGGGAGATCGGGGTAGCACAGTGTGATTATTGTGGTGATCGCTGTTGCGATCCAAGCTGCTGCTGCTGCTCTGCGGCTTTGGGCGTTTGCAATCGCTGCAGACGGTGTCATACCCACCACTCGTTGTCGACGAAGCTAATTTCGCAGGAGCTCTCGACCTACTGGTCGATGAGCTGCTGGACGAAGAGCTGCTGGACGAAGAGCTGCTGGACGAAGAGCTGCTCGAAGTAGTATAGCTCCCGGTACTACTCGTATCATAGCTCGAAGAGGAGTAGCTTGAACACGTCTCAGACGGACAGGTACATCTTGGATCTTTGGGGATCTTGTAGGTATGTCGGCGAGCCATAGAATTTCAAAGGGAAAAATAACGAAGTGTTATGAATGAGCCGGTAATAACACTGGGTAATAGCGCTGAACGGCCCACTATTTTCGTGTGCACACGCGTGTGCGCGCGCTAAACTAGCGCCAGGAAAGTAGCACCCTGGCCTACGGTTCGCCCCAGTTGTCAAAACTGCAAAGGAAATGGTTGCGTTTGTAGACATCTGATACCAGCTTTGCTGGAGTTGCATTATAGGCTCATTGAGGAGCGCACTCGGAGACGAGGACACTGCAGCGACCTGGAGGAGACATCCTTGTCCGAAATATATTGCTGGGGCCGCGAGGTCGAGTTCCATGCCTTGAGACAAGCGGCAGAGGAGCGGACCGTATTGCAGTATGTCCGAGCGACGCAGTCAGTAGACCTAAGGAGGCAGCTGGTACAGAATGCCGCGCTAAGGAGAAAGGCAGCGACTGCGGGCTTCAGGAAAAATGGCCATCTTGACGCAAAGGAGCCACCTGACGGGAAAAGCGGCTCTGGCGGGAAAGGCGGTCCTGACGGGAGGAGCGTTCTTGACGATGAGTCAGGAGGTCAGGCCACCGCAGCGCGTCGTAGGAATGTCCGGGGCAGTGCACGGGGCGGCGCGCCGCGGAGTGAGCCGACTTGGAATGAGAATGCTGAGGCTTCGGGCAAGGTTCCGCGGGAGCAGGGTCCAGACAATGTGACAGCCACTCAGGAGGCAAGATTGGTAGAGAGTGTGCAGAGTATTTTAGCAAGATCGGTGGGAGAGTTTTGGAACTCGCTTGTCAGCGTGGTCAACTGGCCCCCGGAAATCCAGAATGCAGACGTGGGGAGCCAGTCGACTGCGAGACGGCCCCTGTCCAAACGGCGAAGGTTGACGACTCAGAACATCAAATTTCTGAACACCTACGTTTATTGCAGCGTGCCGTCGCAGACCGCAGACCCATCGGCTTCGGCCGCAAGTTTTGGGACCGTCGGTGTTGGAGCTTCTGCGCGAGGGATAAGAGCTGATGGCTGTGATGACGAGCGTCGACTACGGATGCCGAACTCGAAGGCTGTTTCCACGAAACTGATCAAGGAAGCGTTGGTTCACCTGTCCTCAGAAACAGTGAAGCCCTTCGACCCGGTGAGGCTGGAGCCGTCGGCGGTGAACCGAGCTCGTATGGTCTTTGGCGTGGCCAAGAGGAAACGGAATTGCTGCAAAGTGCCCTGGGAGAGTCTGTCTTCTCATGACGGCTGGAGCTCGGTGATTGTGGAGTACGATTCGGCGCCGAAGATGTTCTCGTACGGCGCTGCAAAGCCTTGCCTGACGACCGGTTTGAACTCCATTGCCGGACTCGCCTCGACGGAATTGCGGACCGAGGTCACTGTCAGTGACCAGGTCAAAAGCACTAGCAGTTGCTCTGCTATACGGCCCACCCTAGTTGAGCTAGTTAGTCCACGACCTCTTCCAGGGTTCCACCCGATTACTGTGGAGCAATTCGTCAAACCCGAACGGTGCTTACTCCACCAATATATAGGGTGTCCCAGACCCGCACACGTTGGGCTGAGTCCACAGCGAGAACTTTGTCAGACAAACGTGCTCAAGAGTCCCGTCGGTTGTCCTGCCTCTGCGTCCAGGGGTCCTAGTCACCTCGCTGAGCGGCGAGCGACGGCGGAGCCTGGCGTCAAGAAAACGTGTCAGTGCCGATACAAGTTTGCGGTGTGCGCCGAGCCGAGTCACCAAAAGATGTATCGGTCGGGTGTGTACGTGGCAGCGCCGTTGTCATTGTCGTCGCTGTTGCTGGTGTGTTCATTGTTGCCTCTGTTGGCGTTGCCGCAACCGGACTTGTTGTCGGCGGTGATTGCAATGGAACGATTGAGTGTCCTCCAGGACGACGTGGTTGTGGACCCGGCGCCGGTTTCAGCAAGACCGCACCTAAAGGCGAGCCTGCAGTCGCTGAGTAACCAGACGGGCGGGCTAGTATCGTCGAATGCATCTGTGGACTCGATCACCGTGACACTCCAGTCGCTACTGGACTACATTGCGACCCTGGTCACCAAGGTTGCAGAACCCACGGACTGGCTGAAGCGCTCGGGCTTCGGCTACTACGCCGCGTACTACTCGGCCTTGGGTCCCGCCGTGTCCGCACATGCGGCGTCTACTGCGACTGCGCACTCGCAACCGACGGCGACTGCCGGCAACCCGGGGCTGTCTGGCCCAGGACTGTCTGGTGCAGGACTCTGTAGGCAAGGTCCAGGATCCGTTGTTCCTGCCGAAGGTGGTTCGGGACACGCGCCGGCGTTAAGTCCATTTACGGGTTACTTTCTGAGCGCAGGGGTCTGCGAAGATTGGCGAGTGGAAGCGCGCTTGTTGTTGGAGCGGCGGTTGACGGTGACTTCGGACATCTTGGCGTATTGTCTGCGGAGACAGGAGCGTGAGCGGCGACGTGGCGGTCCGCGGCAGAACGTGAACGCGTACCTGTTGAGTGCGCCGGAGGAGGCGGCGGCGCCCAAGGCGGGGTCTAAGAGTGTGGGTGCGAAGGCGTTGGGTGCGAAGGCGTTGGCTTTGGGCGTGTATGGTTTCCTGGACCGGTTTGCGCACTGTTTCGAGTTGGATGCGGCTACGCGGAGCGGCATGGGCAGTGGAGGGAGGTTGTTTGCGGACCACAAGAACGTGGCCGCGTTTGCCCCGAATGTGTCGACGGACTTGTTGTGTTGCACAGGCTTTGAAAGCGCCTGTCGCTGGACGCCAGGGAAGTGGAGTTTGGAAGGCGGGCTCGGTTTCTCGTTGCCGACTTCGCTGGTGGTCGCCTCGGCCAACAAGCACCCGCGAAAGTTCCAAGTAAACTGGCACGTGCTCGAGGAGTATCTGCTCTGGCGGTGCGTCACCGAACAACAACCGAGATTGGCACTTAAAGACGTCGCCAGTCTCCTGCCGCTCGTCATGCCGCTGTTGCCTTGGACCGACTTGGCTGGCGCCGTCGACACGTCCCCGGCACTCCCGCTCGTGCCCGCCATCGGCACTACGCCGCCCGTCCATACCGCGCCCGCGAGCCTCAGCGGTCGCGCGGTGGAAGAAATTTGCGACGCGCTCTGCGCCGTCAACTGGGACCTTGTATGCCACACACTCGTCTTCCGCACCGGCCTCTTCAATCAGGCACGAAGCCGCAACGCCTGCCTGGCCAAGTTCCTCAGCATCGCACTAGATGGCATCTACTCCATCAACCCGCCCGAGCCAGATACCGCCGCCGCCACAGTCGCGACGCACGCCTCTCCAAACGTCGCGGGAAGAGACCCCGCCGGAAGAGACCCGGCCGGAACAGACCCCGATGGAAGGAACGACCTTGGCGGCGGTAATGGGACCGGTGTTGGTGGGGTGGGTAACGCCGCCGACGAGGCCGTGCTGGCGCAGCCGTGGTTCGAACTTACGAGCAACGCGACCGTGCCAGCGGAGTTTGTGGAACTTGCACGGCGTCGCAAACGCCTCGCCGGCTGCCGACCCGGTCCAGCCCGCAAACGGGAACCCGCTGCCGCGGAACGGATCACGCCCGCGCCACTCGACGAATTGACCCTGCCCGCCCCCGCCGCTGGCCCCTGGAAGCCCCTGGAGCCTGAGCACGTGGTGGTTGATTCGGGCGGACGACTGTCGAGCGAGAGGTCTGAGGTGACTGTGTTGTCGCCGGTGACCGCGACAAGTGCGCCGTACGTGTCTGACGAGCAGATGGCGGTTTCGGAGCAATCCGCGCTGAGTGAGGTGGCATCGAGCGAGGTGGATGCGGCGTTGGTGCATTACCGGGTGGTGGAGGAGCGTGGGCGTGCGCCGGTGGTTGTACCCGGGGCGCGTGTCCGGCGAGGGGCAGAGGAGTTGGGTGCGTTGTGGCGCGGGTTGAAGATTTCGTATGCGGGTACTCGAGTGGGTGCGTTGACGAATGCGTTGGTGAAGCTGCGCGACTGGTTCGAGTCGGGCGGCGGGTTCGTATCGTCGTTGGCGTGGTTGGCGTTGGGGGACGAGCGTGGGGGGTCGACGGGGTTGGACTTCGAGGAGGTGAGTGTGCCGGCAGCCTGGGCGTCGTTGGGCGAAGCGGCGTTGGAGACGGAGTTGGCGGCAGCTGTGGAGGACGCGGTGCTGTTGTGTGAGGCGCTGGCGTTGCGTCGATTGAATGTGTTGGTTCGGGTTGCGCAGGACGGGTGCGACAAGAACAAGTATCGTTCGTTCGAAGCGGTGGCGGCGGACCGTCATTTGCGTCAGCACCTGCAGAGTGGGCTTACGCACACCGCGGCGGGACGTGGTTTCCTGCGTGCGTTCAAGTACTTCCTGAGCAACAACCCGCGACTCGTGAACGCGCAGAAGAACGCCACGTATGACGCACAAGTCGCACACACTCTCGCCGCCAACTTCGGCCGCCTCGTCATCCCACCGCGCGCGTACTTCGAAACCTTCGTCTTCTACACGGACCACAACGGACGCACCGCCGGCGCACCACGGACCGGCGCGGGCGCCAATATGGTCGAGGCCAGCGGCGCGCCGCGACCGAGACTCTACCTCGAACTCCTCGATAAATACTGCCGTGATGCATGTCCCCAAGGGCCACTCTTCATGCTACTCGGCACCACCCTTGATCTCAAACCTGAACTGGAAGCCATCCTGTGGCGCCTCCTCCTCGTCCTCCGCCAGTCACTTCATACCTCACCCAAACTGCCGGAAAAAGCCACCGACCAACAACTACTCAAGACGGTCATGACCCATCTCCTCCTCAACACGCGTATCCAGCGGAAACTACCCGAACTCATCTCGACTCTACCCGTAAGCCCTCCCTCCCCCCGCCTCACCTCACTCGCAGCTTACCACCACCCCCCGCCGATCCCATTCCACTTATCTCGTTCTACCCGTCCCACAACAACCGCCTCGTGCTACCTGTTTCATGATGCCCGTCTCGTGCTACCTGTTTCATGATGCCCGTCCCATGTCCTCGTCCTCGTCCTGTGTTTTGATGTAAAGCCGTTCCTTTTAGCCGATCCAGTTTACGTCGGCGGTTGCCAAAAGACCCGCGCCAGCACCGACGTGGCGTCCGCCGCCTCAGAGCGTGCCGTGGCAGTACCAGGCGCGACAGCAGTTCGCGCCCGTGTGGGGTAACCCGCCGCCGCCGGCTGCATACTACGGACGCCCGCCGATGCAACAACCCGCAGGCTATAACTACTTCGCCTACTCGCCCACCGGGCCCTGGCCGCCTACTACCTACCCCCCCAACTCTGCCCACCCACCCGGCCCACCCAAGAGACCGCCCTGACTGCGGCCTTTACCTTTAATGGAACAGTTTGACATTGACCACGTGACCCAGTGGCCACTTCACCGGGCGGGCAGGGTAGGTGTAGGTGCAGACCCCCCGTGGGTGTAGAACGAGCGTGGACATAGACCCCTGTCTTTTTCCCCCAGCCGGACCGGGCTGAGCCCAGCCCCAGCCGGAGCGGGCCCAGCTTGCCCGGATCCTTCAATACGGTCCACGATCAACACCATTTCGGGGCCATGACGGTTTCTCGACGAAGAAGCATATAAAACCTTTTTGAGAAATGAAGTTCGGGCGTCGGTTGCTGGAAGAAAGCGACCCACGCTTTAGACACTTTTACATCGCTTACAAGAACCTGAAGCAGGCGATCAAGCTCATCACCGGTACGTGACGCAGCTTGAGGGTCTGTTCTGTGTGTGGGTGGTGGGTAATTCGTGGCTGGTGCCACCCTGTGGCAGCATTGTCCTGTAGCCTTATTGAGTCCATTGTGGTTGACTTGGTTGTAGTTGACTTGGTTAATTGGTGGTGTGTGTAGGGAGCGATGGTAGTACGTTTTCAATTCAGCAGGTGACGCACAATTTCGGGAACCTGCCTGCATTGGCAGGTTCAGTGTTTCGTCCACCGGAGAGCCGTTTCCAGGAGTTATTGAATCATGAGAAGCAGAAGATCAATAAGTTCACGGAGGTGAATTTGACGGCGACGACGAGTGCATTGAAGCAGCTGTTGAAGGATTTGTTGCGAGAGGACATGACGGATGAGGGTTACGTTGAAGACATGTCAGTGGCATTGGCAGAAGTCGATCGTCAGTCAGAGATGTTGGTCTTTTTGAAGAATTATCAGAGCTTGAATTGGACGGGTTTTCGTAAGATTACTAAGAAATATGACAAGCATAATCATTCACAATCAGCCCAATGGTTCATGGCTCAGTTGCAAAAGGAGGCGTTTGTGAACGCGGACCTGGATGGTCCATTGAAGTTGTTGTCGTTGTGTTATCAGATTGTGTTGGCTCGATCAGAAGATACGTTTGGTAAGGAGTCATTGTTATCTGGTTCTATAAATTTGGTATCGATTGAGAAGTTGGAGTCAGGTAAAGAGCTGGTTTCTGGTTCGCGCGAAACGGTGACATATTTGATCCGGGGTTCGGATGTAATGCGGGTGAAGGTTATGTTAGCTAAGTGTTTGTCACTGGCTTCGATTGGTAGTTCATGCTTCATCGGACGGGAGGCAATAGATGTTCTCATTAATCCCCTAGCATCATTGCAACCGGCATGTACATCATCTTCGGAGAAGATTTCACATGGGTGCTTGTACCTTGACAATCGTCAATTCGATATCATTCGTGGGGTTCTTAATGTAACTCGTCGACAACTACAGAACACGCGTCTCACTCGTATACGCTGGTTCGGATTGATGGATGGTGAGAATGACAAGGATGTCTACATTGAGCGTATTCCCCTCAGCGAGTTACATGGGTACCATCCTGAAACACAAAACCTCATTGATTTATCGTCCAACCATTTACGGACAGACTCACCACAAACGTGTGTCATGATCAAATACAAACATGTATGCTCCATGCTCGCCAATACTTTCGATGTCGAGAGCTGGATGCGACGTAAAGGATACGAAAAGGACCAGGAGGTGCGCGAATTGCTACAGTCAACGCAGCAAAGTCTGAGCTCAGGCGATTTATTACCTGTGTTACAGACCTGGTCTTTGAGAACTTCGTTCAGTCTAGTATGCGAACAACAAAATATTGTGGAGGCGCATGTTGACGAAAACCTCCATGCCGTAGCCGAACTACAGACACGCGATGGCCGACTTGTATTCCCCGAACAAGGAGTCGCACAGACCGGTGGTCTGATCACTCCCTACACCAAAGTCAGATCAGACGGCGATTTCGTCCAAGACGACTTTGTCACACTCAACATGTCCTTCCCCAAAAACTTCCGCTTCCCATACCAAGTCAACAGACCCAAAAGCGAACTGGCCGAGGGTGAGACGACCCTTTTCGAGAACACCGTCGACGACTTATCCATGGAAGACCTCAAGTCCTGTCTCGAACACTTCGCCGTAATGCACAATGCACACGACTTTACACCCCTTGCTCATGCAGCCGCCACACTCTTTAAAGAGACCAAACCGCACAAGTTGCACACACCTGGTTGGTTCAGTTCAAACCTCGTGGTAAATCTCGAAGACGGCAGCGAGCAGGAAGAGAAGAAAAAACCGGAGACCGATACACGAGGCGCCGAACCTGTCTCCGAAGAGCGAGCCCCACGTGCGAACAACAGCATCAGCAGCCAGAAGATTTCGGGTCTGTATTGTGACTTGGCCGGCCAGGCGGCTCCACCTGTCGCACCGGGTAGTCAGGGTCTGCCCATTGAGTTACTCCCGGCCCCGCGGTACCTAGACCAGCCGCCGCCTGGGAATGGCGGCGGCTTCCTGAACCTGGACGCGACCTCCATTCAGGTGCAGGGCGACCCGTTGCAGCAACCGTTGGTCGAGCACCCGGCCGTCCCGGCCGCGCGAACGGTGCAGAACGGCTGGTTGCGGAAAGTGGTGCAATTGTTCTACAAAGCGCCCAGCGGCTCCACAGCGCCCAAGACCTCGGCCTCGGTGCGAGTCGAGCCCAAGACCTTCTTCGCGAATGAACGCACTTTACTACAATGGATGAACATCGCCGTACTACTCTCCACCATTTCGATTACACTCATGACCTTCGGTAGTCTCTCCAGCCGCATCGCAGGCTTCGTACTCGCACCCATCGCAGTCTACTTCATCATACACTCGTACAACGTCTACCTCTACCGCACGAACGCCCTTATGAACAAAGAACCCATCGACTACGTCGATCACACCGGCCCTGCCGTCCTCGTCTGCTCTCTCGTCTTCGCCATGGCAGCCATCGTACTGATGAACATCTTCCAAAGCACCGCAGTCTCCAACCACAGTGCCCTCCCCCTCCCCACCATACGACTACCACCGGCCGCACCCGGCAGTCACTAACCCTGGGGGAGTTCTCTCGGAGCGCCACCCGAGAGTGTCAACGACTCGACGCGGGGGTGTGTGCCACCGACTTGACCGGAGACACGTCGTGACCGGGAGCAGATCCTGGCCGCGGATGCTAGGAGGCGCCTAAGCAGGCGCCACTAGGCGACCAGGGACGGCTCCGGGCCGGTAGGGGCTGCGCCGTGAAGCTCAATCTTCGTCCTGTAATCCGGTCGCATTCCGAATCCGGCCGCATTCCAACTCGTGACGTAACCGTCATCTCAGACGCGCGCGAGAGCGACCGCTGCAGGGCGGACAGGGCGGGCGGGCGGGTCGGGTGTTGTGCGGTCCGGTTCTGTCCTGTCTCGCTTGTCTGTCTGACGGATGTCTGATTGACGAGTGTGAATCTGCAGATGTGGATCCGCGTGTGTGGGCCGCGTATTTTTAAGTTGCAGAACGATGAGAAAAGAAGAGCGGACAGTGAGTAGCGTGTTGGGGTTGTACAGGCAGATCGAGCTAGATGATGCAGCGGCCGCGCTATCGGATACGCCTCGCGGTGAGGGGTGTTTCAGGCGGAGTGGCACGAACGCGGTTGAGGACGGACATTTAGAGTTCGTGTCCTCGACACTACCGCAGGCGGCGACAATTTACGATGACGATGGCGACCCGGTGGTGTTCGCGTTCAAGGGCACTGGCGGCATCAAATGTTGTGGATTCCGATGGGCACCATCTGCCATCAGTCAATCTGCCACCGGTCAATCTGCCACGGGTCAATCTGCTACGGGTCAATCTGCCACCGGTCAATCTGCCACCGGTCGATCTGCCACCGCCTATTACGCGGATGCCGCCTGCACCGCCGCTGGGTCGCGCCGAATGGCCGACTTTGCACGAAACGCCACCTCACCGAGTGCTCTCTCTGCGGCAAACAGCCTCCTGTCCTTTGCCTCTCGCCTCTCTCCACGGAACCATTCAAGAACGGCCAACTCCGACTCGAGAGCAGAGGACTCCTCGCCTGGCTCTAGTGCTGATTCGAGAGCAAACTCCTCCCCACGAGTTGGCGCGTCGCCGCGAAACGTGTGCATTGGGGATGCGGTCTCGCCCACAAGTCCGGCTGCGGCCCGATCCCGGTTGTTTGGCGACGCGTTGAACTCGGAGCGGCCGGTCTCGCCCGCAAACTCGGAGCCGCCAACCTGCTACCTCTCGGCCACCGTCAGTCCCGCAGGAGTGAGTCCGATGGGGGGGGATGGTGAGGCGGATGAAGCGAGAATGGGCGAAGCAGCAACGGCCGGTGAAACAGCAATGGCGAGCCCGACATCGCTAGCGTACGGGACGCCTGAAAACCGGTCGGCCCGACCTGTGCGTTTGAACTTCGGCGACATGTTGTCGAACGAGTTGGGTCCTCCTGAGCCCGGTGCTGAGTCGGAGGGTGTGTCGATGGGTGGTCCGAATTATTCGCCTCGAAGCGCGGCGCCGTTGCCGACTTCTCCATCGCGTTTGAAGGGTCAAAGTGTGTTGGGAGGGAGCATGTTAGAAGGTCATGTGCGAAGATTGTACTGGGCCGAATCTTGGACGCCAGTAGATTGGAGTTGTGTGAAAGGGGTGTTATTGCACGCACACGGGATCACAGAGAATGCTCGTACGGGCATGATCCGCTCACGTGCGACTGAACAGGTTTTGGGGCCTGGCGATCATGCACACACTGGTGCCCTCACCGAGCAACAACAGCTGGAGTTAAAACGGGCCTGTGAAAGCGACGAAGGCTGTGCCCTCGTCTTCCGTAATTCCTGGGTCGACTTACTCACGCAAGCCGGCTACGTCGTCTACGCCATCGACAATCAAGGACACGGCTACAGTCAAGGCTGGCGAGGTGACCGCTGCAACGTTGAACGACTTTCACACATGGAAGAAGACATACTCCAACTCATTAGAAGTCTCCTTGCATCGGGAGAAGTACCTGAGCAAGTGCCCTTTTTTGTCTCCGGACTCTCCCTCGGTGGATTAATTACTGCCCGCGCATTGGAGATCGGTTTCGAACGTAAGCTACTTACCACCCGCAAAGCCGCTTACAATCAGTCTGACTCGAAGCTGGGGGACGCCGTTTCGGGTGCCCTTCCGGGTACCGTTCCGGGTACCGTTCCGGGTACCGTTCCGGGTACCGTTCCGGGTACCGTTCCGGGTACCGTTCCAGGTACCGTTCCGGGTGCCATCAAGGTCCCGGGTTCGAAACCAATCGTGCCCATGATTGACGGGTGGGTACTATTATGCCCAGCCATAAGCGGCGAACGCCTCAAGAAGAAGTTCCCTAACCAAATTTTACTACCCGTGATGCATGTGATCTCTGCAGCCACTCCTTCTCTACGTGCAGCATCACTTCAAAATGTGACACCATACCCCTTCATTTCGGAACTCATCGTTCGTGATCCCCTGGTATTTGATTCTAAGCTACCCATTAGAATTTCCGCAGAATCAGTCATTGAGATGGATAGAGTTCTGCCCTCCGCCCTTTCGCTACCGCCAGAACTCTCCGTCTTCTTGATCCAGTCCAGATTCGATACCATGACCGACCCCGAGGGATCCGCACTATTCATGGACACCATTCGATGCCAGGACAAAACTAGCTTCTGGCTCAACTACTCATGGCACTGGCTCGGCAAGGAACCAGGCTACGGCTGCACCATACGTACAGTCATAGCATGGCTCGACAAACACTGCAACAGTAGCTATGACAATCAAGGCATTGTTGACGGCCAAGTTGATGACAATTGAGGCGTTGTTGGCGGCCCCCCAGTGTTCCCCCCCAGTGTTCCTCCCCCCAGTGTT